TTCTTTCCTTCAAATCACATCCTTGTAGCTGTGTGAGCACCCTATGGCCCCTTGTAGCTCCTAAGGGGCCACATGCCATTAGAAAGCCAAGCTGAATCATAATTCAGTTCAGAAGTACTTGTGGAAAGATCATTGCGTAGCGAGCACCACACTCTTTGCCTCAGATACCAGTGCAAACCATGAGGCGGGAGTTCCCCAGAACAATCACACTTCCTCATGCTTCACTCTTGGTTGGCTGAAGGCAGCTGAGAAGTGAAAATACAATCTTCCCTGTACTGCCTTCAATCTGTCAAGCAGGGCCCCCCACCACATAAGAGAGCTGCCAAGAGGTGATTGCTTCAGCCTTTCTCCTCAGAGAAGTTCCACTCACCCAACTCTTCCATGGTCACACAACCAAGATGCTCTGGTCCCACAGGTTGTGAGGAACTGCTTTGGCATGTGCTGAAGAGGGAGGACCGCAAAGGAACTGAATGAGACAGCGTGAAGCAGCCAGCCTCTATAACCCTTTTTGGTTCCTGTATTTGCTCAGCACTTCCTCTCTTTTGATTTGGTGAATTTCTATCTTTTTGTTTTTTTCTTTTTTGAGGTCACAGTTTTAAAAAATGAAACAGGACTGACATAGGCAGGCAGATTGTAGGATTTTCATTCTGATGGTGGATTAACAAGAAAGATAAAGCTTTAAAATTCATTTAGTGACATTTGAGTATAATCTCCATTGGGGTTAAGAAGCGCCCAATCATTTGGCTGTCTGTTTAAACTTTTAAAGAAATCATGCTTACCCACTTTACTGAGTGGATTGTACATCCTTAAAAGGCAGAACTGATGCTTATTCACCTTTGGATTACCAGGGCCTGACTTATTTCAGGGGTCTAAAAGTCTAATATCTAGAGAGGGGGGAAATCAGTCACTAGGAAAGGACATCGTGTTGGGTAAATTGGTTGTTTTGTCTTGGTTCCTGTGGAGTGGACTCTGAGTCAAGCGACTCCACTGGGAAAGAGGGCAAACCTCCCAGAGGTGGACTGACATGGTGGCAGCCATGCTCGCAAACAGGCAAACTACCATGCGGATGATGCAGGCTCGGACAATGATTTGCTGTTATACACATGGTCACCCAAAGTCAGAGCTGACACAATGGCAACAAGCAACAACAGAAAGGCCATGAAAGAACCTGGAAGGTTTAAGAAAATGGGTGCTAAATTGTTGACCCCTCAATTAAGCAGAAGTCCTGCCTAATTACACTGGCTTGCACCAGTTTCTCTGGAAAGAGATCCTGGAGCTAACTGTTCACATCTTTTACCACTGGAATTTTATTTCTCTTGAATAAATTTAAATGTTTACCAAATGAGTTAGGGAAGGCGGTGTGTGAAGAACTGTAATATTAGAAACAATTATTATCTGCCAGAATTCATAGGTAGCTTTGTTAGTAAACCTGTGGTCTTTTCTCTACAACACAGTGGTCTCTTCTGAGGTTACTCTAAAGGGATTGCTCATTTTCCATTTCACTGTGTCTCTAAGAATTTTTTTGTGTTAAGTTGAAAGCGGATTCCCACTCAGCATCACTTGGCCTAACTGTTGGATATCGATGCTGTTCTGAGAGACTGTTTACTACAAGCATGAGGTTTGAAAAATTTCCCACCCACACTGTACCAAACATTTTTTACAAGTAAAAATGACATTAGCTTTGTGAAAGTGCAAAATACTCCATAAAGAATATAAAATGCTTGCCTAATCTGAAGTGGTACAGTGACTCAGGGCATTCCTTCCATTTTCTTTTGATGCCTCCTCCAGCAACATGTAATATTTTGCCCAATAATAAAATTCCAATAATGAAATCAGGCTTGAATATTTTCCCCCAGTTCCTTCAGCTTGAGAAACTGAAAATGTACATATCTTTTGGCTTCCTAACTCCAGTTTTTTGCACATTTCACTATAATACTTTGATTTCACAAAGCACCTTTTGAAATATTGTTCAGCTCTTATTTCATCATTTCTTCCATTTGCTCGTTACTTTGAGTCCTAGAGCAAGTTTCACAGTCTCTTCTGACATCCAGTTTTTCCTTTCCTGACTTCCTTTTGTTGTCTTCATGTACAATGTGTTTGATGTCATCCCACAACTCGCTTGATCTTTGGTCATTGTTGTTCCATTAATGAAATCTATTCTTAAGATGGTGTCTAAATTCAGATGGGATATACTGAAGGGCCTACTTTGGCACCAGACACCAACTTCTATATGCCCTAACAATGTTCCAAATCTCGACAATTGAGCAAAACTTATATCAAAAGTCAACAGAGTGCTTGCCATTGTGCTAGGCCCCGTTTTAATTTTCTCCAGCTTTAGTTTGAACTTGCATGAGTAACTGATAGTGTGCTCTACAGTCAACTCCTGGCCTTGTTCTGACTGGCAATATTGAATTTCTCCATCTCTTTCCACTGATGTACTCAATTTTGATTCCTGTGTACAGTATACCATGTAGCAAGGTTCACATGTGTAATGAGTTCACGTGGCTGAAAAGAGTATTTCTGCATTGTCTTACAAGTCAAATCGTCTTAGAAATGCAGTCAGAATGCTCTTTAGAAGTGAGGCTGGCAAAACTTTTATCTTTGGACATGTAATCTTGAGGCACAGTCTCTGGAGGACATCAGACTTGGTAAAGGGTCAGTGAAACTGACACCATGGTGGCAACAATGGGGTCAACTTAACAAAGGTTGACAGTTTCCTTCTGTTGTACTTGGGTTCCGTAAGAGTTGGAAGTGCCTGGACAATGATCGGCAGTGGGAAACTGGGCCAACATACTAGAAGGAAAAACCCGCGCTTCAGCACTTGGCTTACAACGATTGGACTGCAGCTATAGTTTAACTGAATGATTGATGTGAAATCCTTAATTGGATCCCAGTATCTTGTTTCCATCTTCATTCTTCTTGAACTTTTAACCAGATGCTTTATTTTCCATCATTAAAGGGCTGTTCTCAAGTTCTTCCTTGGGTAAATGGACCAGAAATATACAAGAGGCCAACTGCATCAAGGATCCAACTTGGGAGTAAATGGAAACTCTGTAAAGCATGAAGCTCATTCGGCTGGACATGCTATTGGGCAGCCACGAAACGTCTGACAAAGCTTCTATTTTTCTGCGTTTGGTGTGCAGCAGACATTTATTATAAACTGCAGGTGGCTTTGGGGCAGGGAGAAAGGGGGAGACCTTCAGCTCTTCTGGGGATGTCCCACCAGCTCAGGAACCACAACCAAAAAGTTAAGCACCAGACACCAGCTTCTATAGGCCCTCACAACGGTTTAGATCTCAACAACTGGTCCACAAACTTTTATTAAAAGTCAACAGAATGCCTTGCATTCTGCAAGGCCTGAAGCAGGTATAGTTCATGTCTTTCAGACATCCACAAGTTGTAGGTCAGAAACTGCTTATCCCGAATAATGTAGATGGGTACACTAGCTGGTCCCATGGACTACGCCACCTTACTAAACCAAGGTAAGGAATCATATGTATCCACTGTAGATATGTTATGGCAAAGCTAAATAAGACAAACAAACAAAAATAAACTCGCGACGCCACACGGACCAACAACTGGTGCCCATTTAGGGCAGCGCTACACAGGCGTTACCGCCCAACGCGGAAACACTTCACTCCCAAGAAGAGTAAACTCCGAAGGCGGAAAGAACATAAACTACTTTTCCCATCCAACATCTGTCAAGACTTCCCAACATCCTCTCCGTCCGAGGCCTTTTTTTTTTAAACCACAGCCCTCTGTAACTAGAACTTCAGATCCCAAGATGCCTCTGGACACTTGATTATGCGCATGCGCCAGAAGGCGGGTTCTCGTTGCCTCCACGACCCCGTCTCCGTTCTACCGCCGCCATTTTGTTAGAGACTCATCCGGCTGTCGACGGTGCTTTTTTTTCTTAAAGGAGAAGCGACAGCTGAAAAAATTAGCCGCCCCCCCCCCCCCGTCTCCTTGAAGGAACTGGCAACGCTGGCGAGAAAAAAGCCAAAGGCAGGAAAGTGAGACTCAGGTGGAGGCAGAGGAACGGCCAATCTGCTTCCGCGGCCTGAGGAACACTACAAAGAGCCCTTAGCGGCTCCTCAGGGAGGCAGGTGCGTGCGCAGCCACTCCAGGGTGCGCGCCAGGCGGGGACAGAGGTGCGTTTTCTTCCTACCAACCTCCCTCGCGAGACCTGTCCCTCCCACTGCCCCTAGCGCGCGCTGAGAAGGGGAAAAAGGTCACTTTCGGATTGTCGCCACCAGACGCAGCCGTTTAACGGTGAGAGCGGGTGCGCGGGGAAGGAAACCTCGCGCGCTCCCTTGGAGCCATTTCCTGATTGGTCTAAGGAAAGGGTGGGGGAAGGAACCCGCTACGCCGCTGCGTGAAAGGGCGGGGGGCGGGGCCATCAGGCCGTTCCTCCTCTCTGATTGGTCCTCGGAGCGATCGTGGCCTGCGCGCGCGCGGTACCAGCGACTGTA